ACATCGGCTCTCCCAGCTGTCTGCAGCTCCTTGCTTTAGAGCTGTTTGGACACTTGGGCTGTGATGCGGACCAGTGTCACCACCACCACTCAGCCCCCACTTCTTAGTGGTTGATAAGGTGCTGTTATGCTGGTGCTGTGTTATCCTTAATCTGCCTTTGGCCTGCAAAGGGTCTAAAGGCAGCTGCTTCTCTGACATCTCCGCAGGCTCTCTGGGTACTTCATTACTCTTCCTGGGAAGAGAGCATTGCAATCCAGTTACTGTGTCCACAGTGAGCACAGCTCATCTTCTCTTGCCAGCCCCAGTACCAGAACGCTGGAGCTGGGAGCAGGATGCACTTTGTCTCTCCAGGTGCATGAGGCACAGAACACCGCACTGACAACACACCGTGTGCTCAAACCACTCACCTTGTGTTTATTCTGTTTAAGATAGCAATCCTCAGTTTCCTCCCCTTCAAAATATCTCTGGCTCCCAAGCATGGGACAAAGAGAGCTGTGGACACAGAGCTGGGAAACTGGGAAGTGGGTGCTTTGGTACCCCAAGGCTCCTGTGTTCATTGCACCGCTGCCTCTTCCATTTTAACTGGGATGCTTGCTGCAGGCAGCACCTGATGCGCAGGTTTCCAGACCTGCCAGGTTTCCCTGCCTTTTGCTGGTGTTCAGGGGAGATGGGGCTGTGGTTTTCAGCCAAATGTCAAGGGCTCTTCCTGGCGAGCTGACAGCATCTGTGCTTCAGACGTACACAGGCTATCGGATGAGACATTTCTTACTCAGAAACATTGGCGAAGACAGACAGACATTCCTCCTGCCACGGAGACAGGCAGGCACTCGCTGTTGCCAAGCCTTGAAGTGTTTGGCATGTTTTCTACTGCCCTAGTTTTGTGGAGTTGTACCTGAAGTTTTACAAGTACACGAGAATCTGGGCTTTTATTTAAAAGGGAGAGAAGGAGAAGGGAAGGCATAAATAAACTCACCCAGCGCTCTCCTGCCTAGACAGCAGGGGTAGGAGAATGTGACTGCGTTGCTTAAAACCAGAAGGCAAATGGAATAACCCCAGTGTCTTTCTGAACCATTTGACAAGTCAGCCTTGGGTCTGGGGGAGTTTCGACTTGTCTCTCGGGTTTTGGATAAGTGAAGGGCGTGCAGCATGGCTTGTGCTCTGAGGGAGGGAGGATCTGCAGCCCTGCAAATGCTAGCACATCCCCAGTGTCCCCTGCAAGCAGTAACGAACCAACCGAAGGAGTCAGCCTCCCCAGATGAGGAGAGCCCTGCGTTCTTCCCATCCCCTCCGCATTCCGAGCTGTGCTTTTTTGGCTGTTCCACTTCTGAAGCCTTCCTTGCAAACAGGAGGATCTCGGGCTCTTTTAAGCAGAAGCCAGGATTTCATGTAAGAACGTGATCTGGGGAAGTGGAGTTTTGACATTTTCATAGTTGTGTCATAGATCATCAGACTTCCATATAGATTTATGCAGAAATGAAGGTCATTATTCACAGGGGGGCCCTGTTAAGCTTTGTACTCCCTGGTTGATCTATAGGGAAGACCCACTGGCTCCCCCAGCCCCTATCTCCATCCCTCCATAGGCTCGCTGGGTTCGCAGGCAGCTGCCTGCACGCTTTGGTGTTGGTTCTGTAGGCAGCGGCGGAGGCACGTGCTCCTGAGATGACGGCTGAATCCACAGGCTCGTGCCTGTGTGCTGCCCGAGCGGAGGGACACACGCAGGCAGGCTCCCACAACAGAAAGGTTTCCAATAAAGCTGAAACACAGAGGTATTGTTTGTCCAACTGCTGGCAAAGGCACAGAGCCATTGTGCGGGTCCTGAAAGCCTCAGTGCTTTATTCTCTGCAGCCTGAATGGCAGCCGCGGGTAATAATAACACGAGATTAAAAAAGCCAACATTATAGGGGCATTTACAACCCGCTGAGAGAGTGAAATCGCAGCAAGGCTGAGCTGTGTCTCGAGTGATCCTACGTCCTTACTGCTTGATAAGGAAATGATAGGCAGCTCTGGAGAAGCGGCCACCACGGAGCGCATGAAAGGGGAGCGGGTTGTCTGTCGGAGCGCTGCAGTGAGTACAGTGGCACAGATGGAAAAGCTCTCTGCAGATGGAGTGAGTGGCATGTCCCCCTGTGTGGGTGGGCTGGTGGGGCTGGACCTGCATGTGTCTTGCCCAATTATAGGGCAAACGCATGCTGGTGTCAGCGGGGTTGGACTGCGTGGTTCAGAGGCTTGTGCTTGGGGCCTTTGGTCAGCATCACATAGCATGGTGCTTTGGTAGTGTCAGCAGATCCACTCAGGACCACTCATGTGTGGCCTGATCATAGAATCACAGAATAGTTAGGGTTGGGAAGGACCTTAAGATCATCCAGTTCCAACCCCCTGCCATGGGCAGGGACACCTCACACTAAACCATGTCACCCGAGGCACTGCCCAGCCTGGCCTTAAACACCACCAGGGATGGAGCATTCACAACCTCCCTGGGCAACCCATTCCAGTGCCTCACCATCCTTACAGTAAAGAACTTCCTCCTTATATCCAATCTAAACTTCCCCTGTTTACGTTTGAACCCGTTACCCCTTGTCCTGTCACTACAGTCCCTAATGAAGAGTGTCTCCCCAGCATCCCTATAGCCCCCTTTCAGATACTGGAAGGCTGCTATGAGGTCTATGTGTGGAATTTCATTATTTCCAGAACAAGGAAATCCCACCCCACCAGAAAATAATTAAGGGACAGTTCCTCATCTTAAAAGTCTTCGATTCAGTGTTGGTCCTAACAGTTCTTTAACGTGTCTTACAAAGCTCTGTGTGTACATATAAGTATCTGAACAGCTTTAAAGACCCAGGTTTTCTCTGCACACACATGGAAGCTGTATTCCACAAGCTGGAAGCAGAACACCAGCCTGTAGCAACATCCTGTCTGGATGTGCCCAGGATGCAGAATAATGATGGTATCTCGAAGGCAGCCTTACCTCGCCAGCCTGGGCATCACCCCGTGGTGCTGAGCTGCTGGAGGACTTGCTCAGACAGGTTTTGCAGCTCTCTGCTACTCAGCAGCTTTCTGAGGCAGCATCTTACCTATGTGACCTTGGTCTTTGGTATTAACAATGCGATGACTGAGGTGGTGGGAGGCGTTTTGCAGCAGTAAACCATGCTTTAATGAGGATGCAGGCTGCATGGCCAAGGCAGGTGTGGTTTAATGACTGTACTTTTCCTTCCTAAAAACACTCTCATCCATTCCAGTGTATTGCTGTGCTTGTCCCAGGCAGCGTGGCATGGAAATTGCTGGGCCCTGGGTGCTGGTTCTTGAGTGGGACATTATGAGGATTCAGCTATCCAGCCTGCTTCACGGATTCATTTACTTGGATTAATGAATCTGTCTCTGCCTCTGTTTCCCCAAGAGTAATGGGAAGTTACTTGCGTCACAGGGATTTATGAGCTGCTTTCTATATTGGCCATTTTGCAGAGTGAGATTCAGCTCGCAGGGCTCTGCAGAAGGACAGAGCGTTTGAGTTTGTTCTGTTCTAATCCTGGCTACAGAAAATTGCCAAGTTCCTGCTTTGATTCTCTTTAAACACAAAATATAAATACCCTGCGATTGCCTCACCCCTCCCCTTCTCTTCCTTCCCTCCCAATCCCCCCTTTTTCCATCCTTTATGTGTGTTGGTTTTCTTTCTTTTCAGTGTTGCCTGTCTTCCTTGCACGCTGCTCAGGCTGGGACCTGAAGCTCCTCTGCACTGGCACAGGCCTGCAGGAGAAGGCTCCGGGCTTGCTTTGTTTCCACAGGTTGTAAGTGTGAAATCAGATGGATGTTAGTGGTAAGGTCTTTGTGGGAAGAGGGCGGAAAGAGGTGGTGAGTGACACTGGGAAAGGATGGTCTAAGAGGGGGGAAGAGAGGATGTAGCTAAAGCTAAATACGATGCTTGCTTTTTGCCAGAACCTTTGCAGCAGAAGCATGGATGCATTCCCAGTTGACAGCTCCCTCCCCTCTTTCCTCCCCTCCCTTTTCTCTCTCCCCCTCAGGGGCTACTGTTTGAGGATGAGTTGGTTCCAAACAGACAATACTTTCCTAGCAGATAAAGGGACACCTAAGCAGCTGCACAGTATCTGTCATGAACAGACATGCTGCACAGAGAGGGAAATCAGGAGATGGGACCAGCGTCATTTGTCATATTTAAAGCAAAGCAAGCTCCCCCTCCACTTGAGCAGCGTCCACGAGGCAGGGAACAGCACACGGCTAAATGGCCGCTTGCTTTCCAGGCATTTAATGCGCTTTCAGATGCTCCCATTAAACATTCCACCTCTGTGTCCTCTCTGTAAAGGATGCGTTTCAGACAGATGGAAAGAGGCCTCTGTCCTGACACAGATGCAGGACTATAAATTTGCAGTGGAGGGGATGGGAGATAATTATTTAGGAGGCTTTTGTGGCTTATTCCAGCATCTGGTATTCTACCAGGGTGCCCTCTGAAGAGGGGAAGGGACAGGAAGCAGTTAGAGAAATGCTGAGCTTGTTTTTCACTTGGGAAAGGTTTTCAATCTTGAAAGAAGGATTTGGAATTGAGGCAGGAGGAGACATTGATTGAGAAATACGGATGCGTCTCCCAGTGTTCGCCGTTCTCCCTTTGTTCGCTCAGATCCATGTTTCACGTTGTAGGGCATCTTATCTGCTGCTCTCTTAATTGCATTGGTTATGTTGGGTGCCAATGGGCAGCCGTTCACAACAAATCCATCTTGCTGAGCTACTGCGATGGTCTCTGCATCCAGGGCTGAGCACACAGGTTCCTGCCTGGGTGTGCCTGTGGCTGGCATCCTGAACATCCATCCACAGCCCCTCCATTCCCAGCTGCAGGAGCTCCCAGCACTCTCCTGCCTGTGCTACACATTCCCTGCCCAGAGTTGAGCAGCAGGAAGGGCTCCCTGCTCCTGCATGACTTTGGCAACCTCCAAGAGGTGTGGCTGAGTCATTTAACTGTCTCAGATCAGTCATTACCATTTCAAAACGCCTGTTATTTCTCTGTCTGGTTGCCTGAACCTGGTAGGGGATTGTCTGACTGGGGCTTGGTGCAGGCCAACCAACCAGGCTTCTCTTCTTTGTGGTCTCATCAGATCCTGCAGCTCCTGAGACCAGATATTTCGAGATACGTGGAGATTGGCAAGAGTTAGACACGTAATTAATGCTTTCAAATCTGATAGTCAGGTACCAGGAATGCTTGGTCAGCACTGAGCTGGTGCAGAAGGTTTGCAGGGCTGAGTCTTGTGGAGGGCATACAGGAAACCTGGAGAGGGGCTTTGGACAAGGGCCTGTAGGGACAGGCCAAGGGGAATGGCTTTAACCTGCCAGAGGGGAGACTGGGATGAGCTCTTAGGCAGAAGCTCTTCCCTGTGAGGGTGCTGAGGCGCTGGCACAGGGTGCCCAGAGAAGCTGTGGCTGCCCCATCCCTGGCAGTGTTCAAGGCCAGGTTGGACACAGGGGCTTGGAGCAAGCTGCTCTAGTGGAAGGGGTCCCTGCACATGGCAGGGGTTGGAGCTGGAGGAGCTTTAAGGTCCCTTCAACCCAAACCATTCCATGGCTCTATGCAATGGGCTGATTCTGCTGACAGATACTGCTATTTCTGGATTGTACCTGGGCAGTGCTTGTCTTTTCCCAATGGAATTTTACTGTTTTAAAGTTCACCTTTAGGCTTTTTATTGTGACCCGAGTCTTTGGGACGTGTTCTGCAAAACCAGGTAGAAGTTGTATCCCACATGTACCCACAAACAGCCGTGAGAGTTCCCAGTCCTCCCTTGGCTCCATCATTGCTGACTTTCGCTTCTTCAGCCAGAAACGAAAGGAGAGCAGCATCTACACCCATATGAGATGAATACGGCTATCACACAAATAGAATTACTGCCTGCCGAGCAGCAACAGCTTAATGAAAATGGGAACTGTTAAACAAATAAAGGCAGTCAAGCTCATAATACTTCTGCGTGGAATTTCACTGTATTGCTGAGCAGAAATAGAATTAGGCACTGAGAAAGGATGTCTGGAGAAGTCTCTGCCTCTGTGCTTGGTGTGTGAGGCTGGATGAGACAGAGTGAGCCATACCTTACGTGTAGAAATGCCGCCCCAACCTGGAGAAGAAATCTCTTTATCCAGTGCAGGAGCCTGCTAAAGCAAGGCAGAAAGGGGCAGGATAAAGCACTAGACTTCCTCCGAAGCCCAAATGCAAATTGTACAGAGGGATGGATCCCTCGGGAGCTGTGCCATTTTTTTGCATTGCTTTAGCATCTTCTGCTGGTGAATAATTATCCTTCCTCTGTGTGGTCGGTGAAGCAGCATTGCCTGGTGCTCAGAAAGGGAAACAGAGATGGGATTTATCTACATGGAAGGAGACTGGCAGCAGAGCCTGGGACCTGCCTTCCTCAGCTGTGGGAGAGCTGCAGGGTTCGGTATCACCAGGGGCAGGTTAAACTCCAGGATGAAACTTGAACCACCTCTTTCAAGGTCCCATCTCAAAGGCACAGTAGCTGAGGGGCCATGAGCTCTTTGCGCTCTACCTGAGGTCTGGACTTCCCTGTGCTTCCATCTCCATGGAAATTCCTGGAGTTCTTGTTAGAGCTAGTGGAGGGTAATGATCCACTCCAAGATGAGCTCTGGAAAGGCAAAGTGCAGTCAGTACAGCTTGGGGTCAGCCTGTGAAGAAGCCCTGCAAGCTGAGGAGCTGCTCTATCTGCTTCTAGGCAAGGTGACATCCTCTCTTCCTGGCTTCTCCCCTCCATCCATGTTTGACTGTGAACAGTCAAAGGCAAGGGATGGGATGGGGGCATCCCTTGGAGTTCAGAGGTTGCTCTTTACCTCCTGGCTCTCTCTTCCTGCACCCTGATGGCACTTCTCCACAAGCAGCCATGGCTTGCTTGGAGTCACCGGTGTGTTGAAGGTGTTTTGTGTCTGGGTCATGTGGAGCTTTAATGCGCTGTGGAATTAGAAACCTTGGAGCAGTTTAGATGCTAAGTGTCTCTATTTTCCTGGGTGACCTTGTGAAATTTCCTTGCAGCAGATCTGCATCTCGCCATCCTGCTGCCTTTATCTACTTTGTTTTCTTGTGTATGTTACTGACATCCAGTGAAGTGTAATTGGTTTGAGAAGTGGCACTTACAACAAGGATCCTGCTAGTAATCCCTGCATTGAATCCCTATATACACAGTGTGCCAGGAATGATTAAAGTCACAAACTTCAATCTTGAGGGATGCGCAGGGGAAATCTATCCCGGAGCAGGGTTTGGTGTATCTGACTTTGCTGCTTCTAGTGCTTCTCAACAGTAGGATTTGCTATTCTTGTTCCAGGGCTGCAGTGGATTTGAGTGGGAGTTTGGCGTCCTGAATTTACACATCCCAACAACAGTGTTCATCAGTCAGTGTTCTTACTGTACCCTTTCTCTACCCTTTCTCTCTATTAATTTTCCTCAATAGTCTGTAGGGATCATTTGCCAGCCTTATTCAAATTCCTACACTTTCCTGGCATCTTGTTTTATAACATCTTGCATCGTGTACTTTCCATTCCTGTAATCCATTTAATCCAAAATACTGGAATGGCTTTGCAGGCATTTATTGCGTTTCTTTCTTCCTTGTGTTAGGAGGGAATGGGGCATTTATACGACTTCATCCAAAGTCTCTTGGCTTCTGGGATTATCTTTTCCTTCCCCCACTGATTATCCCGGTAGCAAGGGCAGGAATGAGGAGTTGCCTCTCTTTGTGCACTGTGATTCATTGTGCTGTGCTCGGAGCATGGCTTGGCAGCTCAGCAGTTAAACCCCTGCAGCCAACATCCCCCAGCCATAACATTACTGTTGCCTGTCCTTAATTTTTGGAAGCGTTGGGTTTAGGGTTTGAAAGAATGAAATGCTGTTGCATCAGTAAGTGGTTTTCCATTCCTTTTGGCTCTGGAAACGGATATTCACAGTTGGGTGAAGTTCATTTTAATCCTCACAAAACCAGAGCTGGATTTGTACAAGTTGTCGTTGTTCTGCTGTAGAAACGCTCTGTGCCTTCTGGATCCCTTTATCCCTCGTGGGGGCTAATCCACGAGCTTGGGAAATGCTCAGGGTGGCTGCAGTTGTGGGATGGAGGGGCATCCAATGTCACCTCCTTTTCCTCCTGCATTACCTACTCTGGCTTGTTCCAGAAAGGCACGGTGCTGTCTACAGTGTACTGATGTGTATAGATAGTGGGATGTAATTATCTTCCCCTGAGGTAGAGTCATTATGCTGGCTGTAAAGAGAGAGGGTCACAGTCCTAATGGGAAATGATTTTAAAGCAATCTTGACCAAGTCTAGTGGAGCCATTTCAGACCACTTAAAACTCAGCCAGTCCTTCACAGCACTTGTGATACGTCCACTTTACACGGTGAGAGGCACTGGGACTAACGCTTGTCGAGGGATACAGGAAATCTCTGCTGAGCTGCAGCATCAGCTTCAGGTGAGGTGTATGCTGCCGTGGGGAAGACAGAGCAGGGTCTTGGTTGCTCTTTTTGAGACTGGTTTGGGGAAGGCAAGGTGCTTGCAATAGGCAATAAGGCTGTTGTCATGAAACCTTGGGCTTCCTGTGCTGCAGAAACCATTTCACATAAGTGATTTTCTATGCTTCAGTCCAGTACAGAAGCCCAATAGCCAGGGCAGGTTAGCAAAGCTCTGAGCTGGTACCCAGACCAGCAAGAATAACCAGTGGTGAAAAGCTCTGCGTCTGATTTTCATCCTTTGAGCTCCTCTATAATGTTATTGGGAAACAAAAATTGTTTAAATAATGGAGCAGACCCAATGCAGTTGTGCAGCGATGCGGAAGGGCTGACGAAGGGTTATTTCCTTTCTTTCCATTACTTTTCTCTTCCTGCCTTGCCTCCCAAACGTGGGTGGAATCTGTGTGTCAGGCACCAGCAACATCAGCCTGGCTCGGTGGCTTTTCTTAACGGCGAAAGAAGGAGATTAAATGCAATTAACATTGATTGAACAAAACCTGCCTTCGGTTTGTATGGCGGTTAATTAACAGCATCCTTTCAGCAGCGCCTCTTTGTAGAGCTGTGTTTGTACCTCCTGGCCCTGGTATTTTCTAGCACATGTCCAAAATCAAAAGCAGCGAGCGTGTTCCCTACTGTGATGTCTGGGGCTACCAGCTCAGCGGGGAGATGCAGCCCCCAGCCGGGAGGAAGCTTCTGTGCAGTTTAGGAACTGTGGAGCTGCTCAGTCAGGGGCAAAACGTTTCCTGTTAAGCAAGGATAATGACGGGAGCTCTGTGTGAGTTAGAACCACGATCAGAATGATTGTGCGGAGGAAATCAATGTTAGAATGCATGAACAAACAGGTGAGCCTCAAAACAACCCGAGTTGTGCTAGTAAATAGCTTCATATGCAGGGCGATGGGGAGGTGTCGGGGCAGAGCATAGCGAGCAGCGGGTCAGCCCTTGTGAGTCAGTGCTGGGTGAGGAGGGGGAGAGGAAGCCGGACCGGCGGCTTCTGTGCCTTGCTGTGTTGGTGGGTGTGTGGAGCAGGGCACTTCCACAGGAAAGCCCTTTCTGGGCATCCGGACAATGCGTCTGGGGGGGGTTGACAGGCGCCTTTGGTGCTGCCAGGCCAGCTCTGGAGACACCATCTGGGATAGCAGCCAAGAAGTCACTGGGTGAGCTTCTCCGCTTTGCAAAGCCGTTAACACCAGTACAGAGAAGAGGGGAAACAAAACTCTCTTCATAGCCCTTTGAATTAATGTTTTTTGTTGCTGCCAGGCATACTCCTGCCCCTCCTTATTCCAAACCCAAGGACAGCAACTGTTGGGCTCCTGAAGGATGAGAGACAGAGAGGCTTTTCTGTGCAATAACTGTATGGCACAGAAGTGCTGTGATCCATTAGTCAGCACAGCTGCTCCACAAAATAGCCAATACCCTGAATGTAACAGAACAAATTGCACATAACCAAAAAATACCTACAGCATACATCAACCCAGAGTGACTCAAATGTCCCTTGCAGTGCTTCGGGGTGCTAATAGCCCTGCAACAAATGCCTTCTCCAGGGGGAAAGGCCTTGAACACCCATCTCAGGACGGGTCAGGGGTTTGTTTGTCATCAGTGCCTCTTTGCCGACTAACTGGGATGCA